ACCCCAGCTCGCAGCTGTAGTGCCCGCCGTCGCCCTATAGGCGAGCGACCAATGATGAGGCTGCTTGCATTGGACAGTACATTTGGTCTCAGCGTACGTCGGCCCCGCAGGCTGGACTTTCTGCAGATGCCATGATCGCTGCTGTACACAGCACCTATCGGCAAGGGGTTGAGAGCCTTCCCAAGCGAAACAGATGACGCCTCGGCAGCCTTACCTTCACGAGAGGACTGTGAGAACACTTGAGTACCTGCGAGACTGGCGTGCCCAGCAGCGTGCTCTTGTTTCTGCCCTGCTCAAAACGCAGAAGCAGGCGCTCTTTGATGCATGGGCTGATCGTACATCTGATGCACGCCGCTGCCTCTTCACGCAGCGCATGGTCATAGGCGCTTATCGTCTTCAGGAGCTTAAACTTCAGAACAAAGTCCACGGCTACGCACGGAAAGATAAGATCCGGCACCTCCTGGCCCTCACTCACTCTGCCACCCAGGCCTGGCATGACACGGGCCAAGCCATGCCTGCGATACTCCATCTCAAGTGGGCCTCCAAGCGGGCGGCCGATAGACGCAATGTCTTCGCGGCTGGAGGTTATGACATCGAAGCCGAACTAGAGGAACAGTTCCGACTTCAGGAGGGTGGACAGCATGTCACAGATGAGCAACTCACCAGCAAGCTGCGGCGCTGGGCCGATACGGCCACTGACAGCTGTCCTTCTGCAATGCCTTCCTTGCTTGATATGGAGCACACTTGTAATCGACAGAAAGGTGGCAAGGCGCCAGGACCTGACATGATACCTAACGAGGTATGGAAAAGTAACCCTCCCGCAGCTGGTCGCTGGCTGTGGCATTTATGCTCCCAAATCTCACTCAGGGGACGTGAGCCTGCGCACTTTAAAAAGGCGCTGCAGTGTGCGCTTTACAAGCGTGGACCGGCCTCTTTGCCCAGCAACTATCGGTCGATTGCCCTTCTGAATGGGATAGCCAAGTTGTGGCACGGCCACGTTAGAAAGACTTTGGGGGCTCAAGTAATAGGGCACTACGACCCTTTCCAGCTAGGCGGTCGCAAAGGCATACCCGTCTCCTTTGCTGTTTCGACTTTCCGGCAGGTCTGGGAATTGGCTGTTCAACAAGGCAGGTGCTGCGCCGCTCTTTTTGTTGACATCCAAGCCGCGTACTATGAAACCAGCCGCCAGCTCCTCTTCCACGGCGACCCTACCCTGCCGCGACCGGAGGGGATGAGTCTTCAGCACCTTACTCAACTCTCGCATCTGCTCGCTGAGGAAGGTGCTCTTGCTGCGCTAGGCATGCCCCAGGCTGAGGTTGCCCTCCTTCTCGACTGTGTGGCGTGCTCGCACTGGCAAATGGTCGGTTCTTCGAATACCTACCTCGCCACCAGGGGCTCCCGGCCCGGAGACGGGCTAGCTGATGTTTTATTCGGCGCTCTGTTTTCGGTTGCCCTCCGGCACATCCGCAAACAGTGTCGACTTGAGGGTATTGTTCACTTCAGTGCCGGCGAGCTCGCCGGCCGGCGGAGTGAGATCATCCCGGTTGGCTGGGCCGACGACCTCGCTGTCCTAGCCGACTTCGAGAATCCCCTGGCTATTCAAGCCCAGCTGCCTCGTATGGCTGAAATTGTCATCCGAACCCTCGAACACCTCCGTTTTCGGGTAAACTTAGGACCTGGCAAGACCGAGGCTATTGTTGACATCAGAGGTGCTCAGGCAAAACAGGTCAAACGGGCTATGCTCGCTGAGAGCTCCGATCTAGCATTGCCTGATGGAAGGACGATCCGTATCTCTCCTGAATACCGCTATCTCGGAGTCATCCAGCAGCCGCGGGACAACGGCCGGCGGGACCAAGAACTCTGCTTACAACGTGCCCACGCGGCGTGGGCCCAGTCTCGCAGCCTGTTCGCTTCTCGTTCCTTACCTTGGGAACTGAAGCAGGCATGGCTGGCGGGCCGGGTTCTGCCAGCTGCTTATGCTACCCTGGCCACGGCGACCGCCCTTTCTCAGCGGGCTACCGCACCTCTTGAAGGTTTTTTCGATCGTGCCACACGGACACTCGCACAGGCCTGGCAGTATGGCCACGCTCTCACCAAGGCCAGCCTCTATTTTCTTGCTGGGCTTACCGCGCCCTCCCATGCTACAGTGTTGGCAAAGGCGCGCCTTGTCACTCAACTCTGCAAGCAAGCGCCTGAGCCGGTTTGGGACATCCATGACGCTGCCTGGAATCGCGCCACTCCATGGAGCGAGCAATTGATCGCAGCGTGCTCCCAGGTGCTGCCAGCGATAGCTGCTCTTGCTGAAGACTCTGTCGTCACTCTTCCACTGATTCGGAGACACTGGAAGCTCTTCGCGAAAAGCTGTAAACACCTTAGCCGCTTCGGCACCGCATACGCATCTTTCTGGGAAGTTTGGCAAGATGTATTCCGGACTCGCACTACTAGGGTTCTAGGCGAAACTGGCTCTTTCCGATGCCCCCTCTGCCACCGCATCTTCCCAAGCAAACAAGCTGTTTCTGCCCATGTTCACCGGAAACACACAGTTGTCAACTGCCTGACCCTGTTCACCGATGGCTCTACCTGCCTATGGTGTCACACCAACCACTTCTCGACTGACAGGCTCAAGTATCATCTTCAACGTAGCCCTCAGTGTGTTCACGGGCTCAGAGTGGTTGTCGGCGAGGCGTATCAGTACGGCTCAGGAACCAAGCGCTCCGGCGCTAGGGGCCACAGGGGTCTTCCGCCGCAGAGGCTGCCCGGGCCTATTAATGCCACGCCAGCTCAACGTAGCGCCGCTACCTTGGGGCGGCAGGCTACGGATGACGAGCTTCAGCGCGAGCTGGCCTCAGCGACTGGGGCGGAGGAAGTCTACAGTTGGCCCAGGCACACTCAAGCCGTGCCGCCCAGTGTGCCCTCTGATGCCCCTCCAGCCTCTGAGGGTGGGACTCCTTCCTGTTCACAGCTGTTAGCCGTGCCACCTCGGTCCTCTTTTCCATGCCGCGAAGGAGGTCGATGGAGGCGCATTGTAGACGCCACTGAGCCTTCCGCACATACCCTGCCGTCGCCTTTCTGGCCAGGCCTTCTGCGAGAGGGCACATACTGGGGACTGCCAGTCGAATGGCATCGATTCTGGACGCTGTGGTCAGCTGCTGAGCAGTACCCGAATCCCTGGGACTTTCGGGCCAGGCGCGCCCAGCATCTGCTTAGGCGAGGCATGTTAAGCTCCGCTGGCTTCCGCGGAACGAAGCAACGTGAGGATATCATTGCCAACACTGTTGCTTTTAGAATGATTTGCAGGTGTGTGAGTCAGAGCGGCCTACTCTGGATCAGAGGCAATCCTAGCCCTAAGGGCCTTTTGCTCCTTCGTAAGCTGCTTCCTTTTGCTAGATTCTGTTGCCTGCAAGGCGGGATCTTTGTGGCTGCACACACCTCGTGCCCAGAGCCTTCCTGGCGGCCTTTCTTGGTTGCTGCCGGTCGCTCTCACCCTGCTGTCGAGCCCAGCCTAGGCGCTGCGCTCCAGCCCTCTGTCGTTTACCACTCGAGGTCGCTGGGCGAATGCTAGCTTCTGCTTCGCTCGCCTTCTGCTTTGTTTCCTGCGTAGTTTCTTGCCTGTAGGTTCATAGCGAACCTGCTTTTGGGCTGCATGGCTTTCTGTTTTCCGCTCTGGACTCGGATCCATTTCGCGCGTGAGTGAGTGTTTAGGGTTTAGGGATTAGGGTTTAGGGTTTAGGGATTAGGGTTTAGGGTTTAGGGTTTAGGGTTTAGGGTTTCGGGTTTAGGGTTTAGGGCCGAGTAAGGATGGGTTCTGGCTATGGGAGGCCACCAGTCTGCAGTCGGGGCCGGAAGAACTCGACGTAGTATTACCGTATAGTTTATGAATCATGATTGCTCTATATATATATATATATATACATAACCCAGAGCCCTATTGTAAACATTAATTTCCCTATGGTATAGTTGATTTAATTAGAACTTAGAACACTTCTAGTAACCATTATCGGAATCCTGTAAAGAAACCCTGTAAATGAACTTATTCCAGTCAGTCAAAGGCAGCTCTCTGTAACTGTGGGTTTAGGATGCAGGCTTCCTGGCTCTTGTTGGCCAATTGTAGTATGGAAAAACCGACTACGCGAAGCGGCTCTGGTGCACAGCGCGGACACTGGTGCTTTCGTGCGAGGGGATTCGACAGCCGAGTTCGAGGGGCTTTCAGCGACAAGTTCACAAATGCATAGTGTTCGATGAAGGCAATGAGGAGACGGTTCTGTCGAACCGGCAGCTCTTTCAAGCAGGTTTGAACGAGTGCCTGCTTGCAGCCCAATTGTCATAGGCACTGCTACCCAGTGTGGCTGTATGGCATCGCGCCGGTGATTTCCAGCAACACCTGGCTTGGCGGCCCGTTTCTGAATCGTCTAACCCTGGGTACCTGTGAGGGTTCTTCTGCGCGAACAAACCAACCAACCTCATCCTTGGCAGACTTGAGTCTGTGAATATTCGTGTTTTCTTGCGGCTGCCTGCAAGCAGCGTTCCTGTTTTTGTAGAGATTGCACAAGAGGTTCTCTGAAGCCCGATGCTGCTCGAACTCAGTTAGAGTGTGAAGACCCGACTTGAGATGAGGTCCTAGGTACTATAAGTACCTCTGAATAGGGTTTAGGGTTTAGGGTTTAGGGGTTTAGGGTTTAGGGTTTAGGGTCTAGGGTTTAGGGTTTGGGGTTTTGGGTAACGAAATCGTACTTGTTGGGATATTCGCATCCTTGGGCCAAACTCACACTCCCAAAACTCCAGGTTCCCTGAGCCCTAAACCGTAAACTCCCCAACCCCTAAACTCTTATAGTAGACTTTAGAAACATGCAGAAACCCCAAACCCTACACCCTAAACACTAAACCCCATAGACCCCAAACCCTGAACTGAAGACCCCCAAACCCAAAATCCCGCCCTAAACCCGAAACCCTAAACCCTAAACCCTAAACCCAAAATCCCAAACCCTAAATCCCGGCTGAAGGCCTTGGTCCCCATCCTCGCTGGTGGCGCCACCTTCTGTGGCGGCTGCACGCGCCACTTTCGGAGCCTCACGCAGCGACTCGACCTTTTTCTGGCCTTGTTTAGGGTTTTTATGGGTTTAGGGTTTAGGGCTTAGGGTCCGTACTGCTCCAGGAAGCGATTCAATTCGTATAACCAGGCTTTTGGTAGAGGAAACAGGTTTGAGGGATTCTGAAAGTTTTTTGGCAGGAGATCTATAGGGTGCGTGCCTGCAATTATAGGAGTCATTCTTTGGGCCGGGGGTCCTTCTAATTGGTACAGATGCTGGTATTCAGTGTCTAGGTTCAGTCTTCTTCGTCTTGTTTGATCATACAAGGGCCTTAATAATTAGAAGAGGGTTTTGGGGTATATTATGCTCTAATTAGAATAAGGAACCCCCCCTTATACGATTCTAACTATTAAGGCCCCTACATGATAGGCCTTGAGAATAGTTTGGGTGTCATCCGACCCTGCCAGACTTGTACATAGAGGCTACAACGTCCACACATAGTCGTTATGTCCTGACTTTTCTGCCGCCTCCACATGTTCCGTGGGCACACGAGGATGTGACTAAATGCGAGAGAAAGTATTCCTACAGGGCGAGAGGCTTTCGCAGAGATTGACATATGTAAGATGCTGATGAAAAAGTTTTAGAATTTCGAGACAGACCTTCAAGATTTGGAACGCATTGGTTTTGGACGTAAACAGCTGCTGGGGAACAATGTCGGCCGCTTTTCCTATGCGACTTGATGCTTAATTACAGGCTGATCTTCATCCTTTGTGGCATCTTCGCATTGGTGGGCGCTTCCTCTGCTCAGGCCGACCGACAGCTGGCAGACAGCCGTGTCCGCACCGTTTCCGGCGGCAACACTAGTTCCAATTCACGGGGCCCGCCTAAGGCTTCAGCCCTAGAAACCGACCCCGATCTTTAGTCCGTTATGGAGCCCTCAGCAACCGCAGATCGAGCCCTATCAAACCCTTGCAAGTACGCATAAAACCATTTATAGAACTTATTGTAATGCCTCACCAATATGAATTGATTATATAGGTATACACATGATTGATATATATATATATATGCTAGCCCC